TGGTGCAACAGAAAAACGAGAAAACAGCATGGAGACCAAAGGGACCACGAGTTAGCCAATTGAATAAGGATTTTTTTAACATATGTTATTTAAAAATGTAATAAATATATATTATTTTATTAGAAATATAAATTTGTATTAAAAAGAAAAAATTGATTTTTAATTTATAAGTTTTCAACTAATTTTATTCACTTGACACAAATATTACTTATTCTGTCCCATAATAATTGTTGTCATTTGACTTTAAATTTGTTTCAAATTATTTTTTTTGGTTAAATGTTAAATTTGGTCCCTCAACTTTAGTGAGTTGCACATTTTTGGTCCCTTAGCAATTTTTTGCACTTTTTTGATCCTTCAACTATACAAAATGCATTCCGTTAGTCCTTTTGTCAATTTGGGCCGTTAACTCGACCACATGGCATTTTTTATTTTTATTTTTTGATGACATGACGAGCACAACTTAAAAAGATGTTGATCTGGACTTTTTTTTGATGACATGTCATCTTCTTCACGCCAAAGCCCCTCCAATGGATCCCACGTTACTTGCAAACTGGTCTCTCATCTTCACTCTCTACAAAATCGATCTTAACCCATTTCTTCTTCTTATGTGAATGCTCTCTCATCTCCGCTCCATCTACAAAACTGATCTTAACTCATTTCTTCTTCTTCTTCTTCTCTTTTCTTGGGGAACTTGAGCTACTGGGTTTCATTAAAACCTCAAACCTGCAGATCTTATCAAATCAAATTAACCATTCAATAAACAATACCAATCAAACTCTAATCAAATTCCAACAAAAATACAATCAAACTTTAATCAAATTCTAACAAAAATGCAATCAAATTGTAAATCAACCCCCAAATTTATTAATAACTGGGAGTGGAAATGGAAAGAAGAATGAAAAAACATGAACCCAGCTGTTGGGTTTCAATCGAACCCAGCTTTCCTGGGAAAGCTGGATTCGTTGAAACCCAGATTTACGGGGTTCCGATGAACCCAACCTTGGCTGGTCGACGAACTCAGCAAAGCTACGTTCCGATGAACCTAACCTTGGCTGGTCGATGAACCCAACCTTAGCTGGTCGATGAACCCAACAAGGTTGGGTTCCGACAAACTCAACAAGGCTGGGAAAGCTAGATTCGTTGAAACCCAGATCTGCGGGGTTCCGATGAACCCAGCCTTGGCTGGTCGACGAACCCAGCAAGGTTGTGTTCTGACGAACCCAACCTTGGCTGGTCGATGAACCCAGCCTTGGTTGGTTGACGAACCCAGCAAGGTTGTGTTCCGACGAACCCAACCTTGGCTGGTCGATGAACCCAACAAGGTTGGGTTCCGACGAACCCAGCCTTGGCTGGTCGACGAACCCAACAAGGCTGGGTTTCCACCGAAGCAACCGAACCCAGCAGAGCTCGGTTCGACGGAACCCAAATATGCTAGGTTCCGATGAACCTAGCCTTGGCTGGTCAACGAACCCAGCAAGGCTGGGTTTCCACCGAACCCAACAGTTGGGTTCGACGAAACCTAGCCTATCCCAAGGCAGGAAAGAAAAAAAGGGAAGAAGAGGGATTGGGAGGGAAGGGTAATAAGGTAATTTTATTTGTTTTTAATTAAAATAGTCATATTAATCTATGTGGCATTTTTATTTATTTATATAACATAATTATAATATATATTATTGCCACATCATCAAAAAAATTAAAAAACAATGCCACATGAAATTACTTAACTGACACATCATAC